CGTGCGTTTGAGAGGTCAACCATACAAGTGAATAGGCTGGAAACACACAGACAGCGCTGGGATCAGTTGTAAGATAAATACAGTATGTTGTTTGCTTCAGCTGCCTAATTAGAGTAGGTCAACAAGGCCGCTTCCAATCAAATAAAGTGACAAACTATTTCTCTTCTAACTTTTGGGATATTTATAATGACTGCATGGCATGAGACTTAAACATGTAACAAAAGTGCTCAAGGTCACAGTGTTTTGTTGCCACACTTAGCAACTGATTATGCATGTAACTAAGACAGACACAGGATTAATTTTAATATGAAAAGAAAGGAACAATATGGGCTAATTGACTCTCAACACACAAACACACACACACACACAAACATCCAGTATCCACACGTTCGCCAACACACACCTGATGTTCTGCAGCTGCAGCTGTATGCATGTCACCAGGATGAACATTCATTTTGAAGAACTTTGCACAGACAAGAGAAGCTTGGTTTTCCAACATTGGGGGCTTGGGGAATAGTACATGTATATTTGGTTGCTAACAGAAAAAAAAAATACAGAAAGAGAGGAAACTTAGGATCTCATGTGCATCATCTCTTATTTACTTGGTTAGATGATTTTCTTGATGAGAGATGACAGTTCGAGGGGATGTTCCAGAACCGTGGTTTCTGACTGTGGGCTGTGATACAGTCTCGGTCCAGTGGGATTCCACTGTTGTGTTCTGCTTAATAATCCAAATCCTCTAAATCCCCTTCGGCCCACTTCAGTCCTTTGATTGCTCCTTGTATTTTTATTACGTTATACTCCATTTTCATAATCTGGTGCACAGCACTCTTATGGTGTGTGCTGGAGAGAAAGAAAAGAGACAACCTAACAAGTGCTGCATACTGCTCCAGTAAGGTCATTCAGATTACAAGGGCCACTCTCTAATCCATAAAGCTGGGTATGTCTGTGCCCAATTTGGAAAAAAAATAATTCTTGGAGAAAAATGACTGTATGGTAAACTGGCTGTGGCAAGCTGCACTCGTGTGTATACACATGCATTTGAGTGTGTTTGTGTGTGTGTGTGTGTGTGTGTGTGTGTGTGTGTGTGTGTGTGTGTGTGTGTGTGTGTGTGTGTGTGACGTGTGTTAGCTATTAATGTAAATGTGCCTGAGCTAGCTGGTGCATTTGCCTGCTTCGCCACCTGGGAAGATGTCCGTAGGCGACAGAGGACAGATATTCACTTTGCTCAGTCACCATGGATCATGCAACACAACCTTTTGAAGGAAGTAATTCATTCCGCGATAAGCACAACAAAAAGGGAGGGAAAAGAGCACTGTCAGCAGCCATCAAGATGGCAGAGCGTGATAGGGAAGTCTAGCTCTGTAATCAATCTGCACATGCACTTTATGCAAGGCCATGCGGTGCATTTCAAAGTCCGCTGCTTGGCTGGAAGAAAATAAAGAAAGGGGACATGCTTGAGAAGTGTGGACGAGTTAGATGAAAAATGCAGATGAGATGATCATTAATATCTAGTAAACAATTTTAACAGTCTAAAAGTTGTTAAGAAATAGTTCTAGGTTTTAACAAATTCAGTTTCAGTTTCATTATGCATAAATTTCCATATACACAGAACTGCTTGAAAAAAAAAAAATGCCATCTCACCAACCATTAGGAACTTGGTAGCATAAACATCCTATACTGTGTCATTTAGACTGCATTATCATTCCGTGATATGAACAAGAGCTTTTCTATATTAGATGGTGTTTCTCCATCACTCCAGCCTAAACTTGTTATTTTTTTTTAACTAATTTGCATTAAGAATGCCACTCCAATGCACAGTAGCATATTGATGGTGCCAATTTACCACCCTTAGATTAGATGCCAGTTATATTCGGTGCAGTGTATTCAGACATTCCTGAACAGTGGAAGCGATTAAAGAACACACAGTTATGAATTTACAGCACTGTCATGTGTCCAGACATGATACAAATCACCGTAGCAGGATTTATTCTGGAGCCAATTCACTGAAGTTTAAGATTGTATAGTCTCAGAGTCTGCTCCTTTCTGTCTCTCCCCTTATTTTCCATTTTTCCCCCTCAGCCTGATGCCAAGGGTAAGATATACATCTATCTAATTTCTTGCTTGTCAGCCCACCATCTGGTGCAGTATCAACATTTAAGACAGGGAAAATGGTATCATACCATCAATCACAGACAAATGCACACACTCACACTAGTGTGGAATGCACAAATTACTAAGGCCATAGTGGTGGACATCTTACAGACAAATTGGTATTTTTTGTTTATCCATCAGTGTGATGCTTTGTCAGGTTCAGTGTGAGTATAGATGTTAAACCCTTCCTCAAGACATCAATTCAGTCTTAAGCACATTGAATTAAGTTCAATTAAAAAGTAGCTGATATATTTGGTGTTTTAACAGAATGGAAAGGAGTGTTTGGACAGTTGATGCACAATGCTGCAGTGAAAACCGATTATTCAGCCCCCTCCCAGTACTGTGGATCAGTTTGGAACACCATCTAACTGTATCCAAGCTCTCTAATCATATTAACGTAAAAAGGTAATTTCTTATACAAAAGTTATTATTTTCTAAAAATTCATTCCTCTGACTCATTAGTAAGGTTTTCAGTTTGTACTGGTACCAACAGTTTTTTATTTATTTATTTATCCTTTCCATTTACCCTCCCATGTGGGGTTTCATTTAAAGCACTATAACGTTTTATTCAAAATGGATGCATCATCATTGTGAAAGGGGTCGCATGTAGTTACAAATCCACAGAGAATTATAACAAGTCCTCCAACCTAAACAACCATACAAGTTGTTTTTCCCTCCTGATATGACCCTGAGTTTCCTGAATTAGTGCCCCTAAGGCTTGAGGTGATAATACAAAAATGTTCTTGTGACAAAGCTTTGGTTAGGTTTAGGCACAAAAACAACTTGGTTAGGTTTAGGGAAAGTTCATAGTTTGGATAAAAATAACTACTGGATGAATTAATGAAAGGGAGAGAACTTTCTTTGCCATGGTTACAAAAAAAAAAAATGTGGTTAAGGTCAGAATGATTTCAGTCATGGTTAAAAGAAACAATGTTGACATTCGATTTGATGAAACGAATAAACTGATGCTGTCTCACACGATTTGTTAAGCGACAAGCTAAAACATAAGTTCAGACTAAGCTGCTTGCACAAAAGACTTATGGGGTTGTTTTTTTTTTTGTTTTTTTTTAATGGCTGACAGTCTCACATCCGTCTCTACAATGCCCCTCAACTCTACAGAGCTTTACAGCAACCTTGAGCTCATTGTTTTGGTTTTCGGGCCTGCTGCTGGCAGCAAAAAGCTATGATAAAACCACTACACGCTGTCTGTTCAGAACTGCAAGAGGGACAAAGTTAGCAACAAGCTGATGAACATAATTAGAGCTTAAGAGCCAGATGTTTTACACACATCAATAAGCAACTCTTTGCTACCAAATTCCCTATATCAGCTAAAAAGGGTCAATGTGTTCACAGTTTGTGTTTGCTGCTAAAGACAATATACAGTGCATTCAGACCCCTTCCGTTTTTTCACATTTTTTTTATGTTGCAGCCTTATGCCAAAGATATCATGTTTCCCCCTCAGCAGTCTACACTCAATGGCCTCTAATGACAAAGTGGAAACAGAACTTTTGAATTTTTTGCAAATTTATTAAAAAGCAATATCACATTGGTATAAGTATTCAGAGCCTTTGCTATTCACCCTTCACGCTCAGGTGCCTCCCATTTCTCTTGACAATTTTTCAGATGTTTCTAGACCTGTGGTCAACTGATTGGACATGATTTGGAAAGTCACACACACCCGTCTATATAAAGTCTCAAAGCTGACAATGCATATCAGAGCAAAGGTCAAGGCTCAGATCAGATCTTAAATGGAAGATGTTTGGAACAACCAGTACTCTTCCAATTCCTATTGGATTATTTCTTAATTTTCTGGTCTGTTCAAAACAGAGGTCTGCTACTTGGTATGGTTTGTCTTTTGTGCTCAACAAAGACCCGCAAGAAAAAAAAAACACTTGAGGTTATTGACAAGATGCATCCATTGTCTCCTTTAGTGTTCTTTGCTGAGCACTGTCTCCTTTGTTTTCTTGGAATCTTGTAAAAAGTAGTCATCGGAACAACTGGAAGAACTTAATGAGCAAGAGCAACAAAAGAGAGGAGAGATTTTACTCCTTTTCTTTTCAAGTGCAACCTCTTCAAGGTCTCAGCTGTTGAGGCTGTATATTTTAAAAAGCGGCCTCTTCACATCTGAATAGCGTCATTATTTCTTTTGACAGTGGTTTAGGATGGGCAGCAGGAACCGCTGCTGTAGTCTCATTGCTTTTGTTTGGAACAGAACAAGGACGTGGTTGGAGAAAAACGACCATTAATGTTTTGTCTTCCAAAAAGCCTTTATTTTTAAAGTGCCTCTAAAAAGAAGGGAGAAAAAGAATTCATCCTTGTTACAAGTTGGACATGTCACCAGCTGCTGCTTTAAAGACGTACTACATAAAAAGGTGTTGCTTAAAATGCAATTAAGCCTTCTTTTTAGCCTTGAATCGATTTGTCCTAACATTATGGCTGGTTCATAAGTAGAACATGCTTCCTGTGTGTGAGAACCTGTCTCCATACATTCTGTCACTGCACAGTGTCTGTGGGCCACAGCGTGTTAAATATACAAGTGTGAACTCATGCAGTTTGCACATGTGAAAGTCTAAGTCAATCAAAATCAGAAAATTGCCAAATAACCGTTATGTAATAAACAGCTGTTAACAAGTGACATTGTTAATGACTGGTTGGTCTTGAGAACCCTTGCTGTCGCCTTGTGTGAAGCTCTGTAATAGGAATACATCAGAACAGAGTGCTACATACTCATACACCATTACTGCACACATTTGCACAGACTCACACATTTTACACACACACATGCCATGAGTGCATTTGCTCGCTTCTCAAATGTATCTTTCATTTGAGCCATAATTCTCTTGCAGGTGACTGAGACACGGACGGGGCCACTGGGATGCAGCAGCTATGACAATCTGGACTCAGTTAGCTCAATCCTTCTGCAGAGCCCTGAGAGCAAGCTTCATCTGCAAGGTAAACAAACCCAGCCTACCAATATTTCCCATATGCTGTCCCGCGATGTTCGACCTAACACGGCAGCAGGGTCAAACTCCATTTTGGTCTCTGAAATTAAAGGAGATCTTTAGTCGTATGTGAAATGCTCATAGGTGGACAACGGAAATGGTTTGTGTATTCACAGAAATTGAATGTCAGTGCATTTTTTAATTGGGGCTAGGACTGGGATGGATCTGGCTCGCTATCCCCTCTGGGGATTGTGATATGATCCTCTGTGGTTATAGATGTCTGCTCATGTTCTAACGTGATCGTGTTCTTAAGTCTCTCTTAAGGCTGTGATCAAAGACGGGCCTAATTCAAACCAGTTGCATGAACTGTGCAAACTACTCAGACATTAAAGCAGAAACTAGCTCTCCCCATGCAAGTACAATCTATAATGACACAATTACAAACAGCATACAAAAAAGGTAAATAGGCCTATTAGGGTTAAGGTCAGATTTATTTGTCATCCATCAGGATTTTTAAGAAGGAATATATTTCTTAAGAAATGTATTCAACACATAAATGAGTCACTTTTATTTTGCTTCCTCTAAAATGAATCTACTAGCATTTCACTCACGGATCACACATCAGTGGATTCAAATAGCAACTTTTATCCATTAGTGGTTATGTTCTTTTAAGCGAAAATAGTTCTGTCTTAAAACATTGACACAAGTAATAATTAGCCTAAGAGAAGGAATCGCTCGCAGTGACAGTCACCCAGGGGAAAAGGAATGATGAAAGACTGTGTCACCGTGGTCAAGTGTTTGAATAGAGTGATTGCTTCTTTGATTTATTCCAGTTTACGCAGGTTATTAAAACTGGTTTGAGAATCAGAGAGGCATATTTTCAATCCAATCCCTATCACCCCTCCCTCCCTCCCTCCTTCCCTCCCTCTCTCTCTCTCTCTCTCATTCCCCACTGAAGGAACCATAACTCGGGCTCTAAAATCAGAGAACTAAGTGGTTTGTCAAAGAAACACTTTTAAGTCCTCTACTGCCGCTTACTCAAAAGGACTCTATAGGTTTTGAGAAAAGCTTTACTGTCATGCTCCAAATGTATTAGCCTTGTGCTTTGAAGACTGTTTTGTCACCTGATTGATAGATGACAGGCCTGAGAGAGATTCTCTTTTGACTTGATAATAGCCCCAAAAAAAAGAATCAAAAAGCTTTTATGATTGGTTTCCGGCTTAGAGTTTTCGTATTATGGGCCAAATTATATAGGTGAGTTTGTGCTTGTGTGTGTTTATGTGTGTGGTCAAAGGGCGCGCGGAGGTGCTGAGAGTTCTCCTGAAAGTGCACTCTTTTAAGAGCAATTATGGTCTCTGCCTTTAATTAGACAGACAGCTGATGGTGTAACTTCTTCAAACAGTCACAGTGCTCTTCAAAGTGATGGCACTTCACACAGCCCATGAAGCGGCGATGTAGTCAATGGAGAGCTTTTAAGGTCTGTGCTGCGCAAATATATTTATAATGAGATCCAATCATTTAAGTCACCCTACACTTTCCATTCTGTCATTAACACAAGAGCAAAAGTAACAGTTAGAATTCTTTTCTCTTAGTGAACTGCATATTTCTCTAAAAATCAAGCCAGCCATGTGCATTTAGAAATGAATTTGCCCCCCTGTGCATATAAAATTGCTGTTATGTTAAATTTTTTCCATTCACTTGGGTCATGGGCTCTGGTTTGCATCGGGTCCCACGCTGGTGGGATTAATGCTTAATGCCCCCCCCCCCCCATTGTGCCCAGGCAAATCAGTCAGCTTCAGAATCAGTGCTACTTTTTCTGACCCTATACTGGAAAGTACATTATAGAGCCATTGCTTTTTATTCTTGATCATTAGGCTTCTCTCCTTTTGAAAAATATGCACTTACATTAAGATACATGAGGCGATGTCCATGGGCCATTTTTTTTTCTTTTTTTCTCCCCATTCTGTGTCAACAAACAAGCAGATGACAGAGAAACACAGACAAAGTCTTTACTTTGATATGTTTATCAGTACTGCCAGCATATGAAACAACATTTGAAATAGCAAAATGACACGCAGTTGAAAGTGTTCATACAACATTGGAGGGTGTGTTTGTCGTGTGTGTACATTTTTTTTTTTTTTTAAGAGAAGATTAAAGCATTTAATTATTTTTAAACAAAAAGAAACTTGTTTTTCCATGCACTAGAAGTTGATACATTCCCTAAAGTAATTTTGAGTCTGGTTCCTTTGTAAGTAAGATTGGTTGCTATGGTGTCACAGCGTTGTCTGTACGTGGTTGCTAATGAGATCTGGGGTGGTTACAAGGAAGCACTAAGGGGCTATAAAAGTATTGGAGGCTAAGGTGTACTACATATGTGCAACAGTCAACAACCAAGTTGCAGTAATAATATTAGAACATTGAGTTTGACTGTTTCAGTATCACAGTGACACAAATGGGGACTGTGGAGCCGTAGCCCAGACTGTTGCCTCCTCACCACCCTTTTACAAAGTATCGGTCTGAATGGAGTCACATTCAAACCATACGCCACAACTAGTGAGTCGTCTGTTTGGCTCCACAGTAGCATTATGTTCAAAAAAGGTCTCTCTTTGGGACGCAAACATAGAACTCAAGATATAGAGACAGTTTGAACAGTGCACAGGAATGATTTATTATCAAAGTACAGCTGAAGAGGGGATCGGGTTGAGGAGAGGGACAGGCAGGCAGAGAAGTGGACCAGACCAGGGTGGGTGGTTGCGGATGGCTGGGCCGGCAGTGTACAGGTACTGGAGTCAAGGCTTGTAGACAATATGCACAAGATGAACCTTAGGCACAGGCAAACAGGAGTTAGTCAGAATCCTGAAAAACAACAAACAAAGAGAAAACTCATGCAGCGATACTAGGAGCTTTGCTGTGGTACTGTTACCACAAAGGTGAACAGACAGTCTGGCGAGGAGTGGAGTGAAGAGCCAGGGTAAATATACTGCAGCAGTTTGTTGAGATGAAGAGGTGATCAGGAGCAGGTGTGTTGGAGAACTGGCGAGAGCAGGAAGCAGGAGGCCACACCCAGTGAGTCCACACAAACACGCACACACAAACACACACACACACACGCACACACACACACACACACAGACAAACTGGGGAATATCCAAACCAAGGAAATCCTGTAGTGTGTTCTCTTTCTCTGTAAATTTAAAATATTCTCAAATAATTAGCATGCTAAAAAGATTTTTTTTTTAACTGGAGCATGCATATCCAGAACATGTAGATAATATAAGATAATGGGCACAAGGAAGTGTACTCCTTGGTGATGTTCTCCTTTTTCTGATTTTATTGAGCCCCTCTGGGGTAAATCCACAAAATCAGTGTAAGAAAATATCAAGAGATGCACATGACTGACCAAAGGAATATTTGGGGAAGTAGCCAGACAGAACACCTTTTTTTTTCACCTTACTCCCCAGCATGTGTGCTTTCATGTAGGTCTAGTGGAAATGGATAAGTCACTCTATAACCAGACTGTCAGGCCCTCATGGTGGGGAGAACACTGCTTTTAAAGGGATGAAGGGAGAAGAGCTGATGTGATTGGCCACGACTGATGCCAGCCCCCTACCAACCCTTAACAAACCCAATGATAATGTATGTATAATAATGGATTCTTCTTATCCCACACCACTTTCTGAGTGTGCCATACGTATTCTATAAAAACACCACCAAGTGCGCTGCTGCACGCTGCACAATAAATTCCTGGAACCAACAGGTCCCAAGCTACAAATGCTTCCTCTATTTTTCTGTGCCTCCAATTAAACTGATCAATTGTTTGGAGCAGAAATGGATTTTTGATAAGTGAAAGTGACAATTGTTTGATTAGAAAAGCACATACACTCCTTTATCTGGGTGCACTTAGAAAAACTGCATATGGAGAAAATTGTGCGTTAATGGTTGAGGGATTTAGAACAACTTGTGAACCTCCAAAGTAGCTCCCAAAGTGGCTTGATCACTTTTTATTCACACAAAGCACAGTTCTATTTCCTGACTGATTTACTGTATCCCAGCGCCCCAAAAAGTAACAGCTGTAACATCATTGTGTCCTTTGACGGCGCGCTGCAAATGGACTTCACAAGCCATCCCTGGAGGAAGGCGATGCTGGCTGAGCCCAGGACTGCTCTAATAAGCACTAGCAGCTCTCAGCACATCTAATGAACACCCACCATGTGGCTCATTTTCAAACGCCTGTTGACCTTTTACCAGACAATTAGCTAAAATGCAAGGTTTTGGTATTTAAACTGTGGGGAGGAGTCACATCTGTCTAGTACGGAAGATCACGATAACTGGTAGCACTGTCTGATATGATATATGCACACCATGCAACATTTTTAGTTGAGATTCAATGTTATATTTTATAGTAATTACCGAATGCAACATTTTGTCTTGCCAAGCCAAAAAATTTAATAATTTACCCCAATATAGATGTACCTCTAAAGAAAGATTAAACATCCTTGACAGTTCTATCCAAAGCTACTGCAGATTTTTCTCTACAGTGATATCTACCTGTTTATTCTATCCAAGTTCATATGAAAAAACAAACACACTGAACTTGTGTTGCACATCTCCACAGTGCTCAACCACCTCATTAAACTGAATTTTGGTGCGTTCAGTCAATAAGGCACTGAGGGGAAATGCACACCTATCCTTGGAGGTAACAGCTCACAGGTAGATATTAAAAAAGGAGGAGAGCTGCACACTTTAACTCTGATGCAGTCACTATTTTTATAGATATATTTTTTCGTTGTTTTGTTTTGGGTTTTATTTTTGTTTGTTTGGATGAAAAATCCTAAACATCCATAGTGACCGACATATATGTTGTGTAGGACAGGTGCTTCAAATGAATGAGCTCACAATCGCAGAAACAGGGTCAATAGAAAGGTTAATCTTATGTTTTCATTTTCCAAACCAGTTGATTCAAAACCACCAAAAGAGTAAAAATCTCAATGTAGTTGACATTGATGTATG